CTCCCATTCAATCCTGCATTGCCTCTCACCACAAGGAACAAACATCAGGGATTTCTACCCCGCGCAGCTCAGTAAGCTTCATATTCACGTTACCTGCAGAGATGGCTCCTAGTCCAACTGCTACAACAGCAAACCCTTTGTTACTCTTGCACAGCAGAAACATCTAGAGATCCCCTGGGCATGCAGATTCCTCTTAACTCTTCTTTCCATACTGTGGAACACAAGTTTCAGTACACCAACAGCTTAAATACAGTCACAGACCAGCAACGCAGCTGGTTTTACTGCAAACGTTCCCCTTCTCCCCTCCATGTCAGATCATAACTGAATTGTAACTAGTCTTACATCTTGGGGAAAAAAAAAAAAAAAAAAAAACCACAAAAAACCACAAAAAAACTCTCTATCACCACCTTTGTTGTTACACACAATAAAGTGCACCACCACCCCCCCACCCCCCACCCTGAACCCACAGCCTACAAATGAGCTGCACTACAGAGCAATTTCAGCTGCACTCAAAGGAGCTCAAACCCACAGCCTCCCCCAAACCTGCCCTTTCTTCTGGGGAAACACGACTTTATCAAGGTGTCAAGCCTTGGGCTGCACAGAGGATCACTCCCATTCAATCCTGCATTGCCTCTCACCACAAGGAACAAACATCAGGGATTTCTACCCCGCGCAGCTCAGTAAGCTTCATATTCACGTTACCTGCAGAGATGGCTCCTAGTCCAACTGCTACAACAGCAAACCCTTTGTTACTCTTGCACAGCAGAAACATCTAGAGATCCCCTGGGCATGCAGATTCCTCTTAACTCTTCTTTCTCCAAAGCAAAACCAAAGTGGTTTTCAGGGGTATTCCAGAGAGATTTCATGCAGGATAGATTTTTTTCAAATAACTGCTCTGCTTTAGTGATTTGTGTGGGGTGTGCCTTCCAAGCATAACAGCTAAGGTAAGAATTCACAGATCTCACAAAGGGCCCAGAAAGAAGCAAGCCTTTATCCTTGCAGACCGTACAGAATCAAGTGCTGAAAGAACCGTTTAGATGGAACAGTAAAAGCATACAATCTGCCGAGTGCAGCATCCCTTCCGCCACTGGAAGGAATGCCTTTCCCAGTACGGTGGATTCCTCCAGTTCCCTCAGCACTGGGCTTACAGGATTCTACTGCAGGAAAATTGTCACTTAAAGACTAGTATCCAGTGTCTCAGTCAGGAAAACACTTTGGATGACATGGATGACTAGTGGAAGACAGCCTGAAGCAAAAGCTGCTCAGACCCACTGTATCTGATATGGCTGTAATATTCACTAGCCAAGAGCATCTTGCTTTTACAGTAAACTGCACTGAGAATGGCTCTCACCTAAAAGAAGCCTATTTGCTGCATTCTTCAGTTCAAAGCTTCTCTTTTCCAGCAGTGTCCAAGATCTTTTTACCTGTCCCTGTTCTTCTAAATACCTTGTTCAAATATATACCCAGCTGGATCCCTTCTGCTCACTGCAACCTGATATTCTAAACAGGACAGTCTGCCTGCACGTCAGTCCGTTAGGTGTGACCAGTCCGTTCAACTCCTCAAAAGTCAGTGTCATTCCTTCTGAAGTTTTTTACCATGCAAGTACTTCAGGAAGGCAGCTGCAGCTGGCATCAGACTGCAACTACAGCTTTTTGAATGACTTCTTCCATGCGCTGGTACCAAGGCTGAATCTTGGTGTGAACCATCATGTCATCAAAGGCTTCCAGCCCCTCCATGACTCGGAGGACCCCGTACACTGCCTGTACCAGAGGATAAAGATTAGAACAACACTGAAAGAGTCAGCAGTGGAGAACAGTTTACGGTACCACTAAGTGTCTTAACAGCCTAGCTAGTAAGGGCCTTTCCCTGTCCTACCATCTTCTGTACTACTCTGAATAGCAAGGAAGACTGAATGGCAGAAAGGTAGTTAAGAATACAGAAGTTTATCTGAGCAGTAGCAGTAAGGAAAGATCAGTATCTACATGCAGTTATGGGCTAAAAGTTAATCCCCTCTCTGCATCAAGCCCTGGTGTGAAATGCTTCACTCCCACTCCAAGGAGAACTGCTAGTGCAGGGGATGAATCCTGCTCCACCCTGCACTCTGCCTGCAAAGGGAACCCCAGCACCATGGAATGCAATAAAATCTCTGCTGGTGTGAGACTTTATTCACCAGCATTCACGAGCCAGAGGAGTGTCCTGGATTGTAACCTTCTTTTATCATGCTTCCACATGACCAGTAACATCCACCTACAGGTTCCATCTTAGGAAACATTTCTCTGGAGGAAAACAACAAATACAGTCCTATGGAATGTAAGTCCCCTTCATGCGGGAACTGTATTACCACACAAAGGACACTGCCAATGTATCTCATGTAACTCACTTTCTCTGCCTGTATTTATATAAGCTGTTTCACACAGACAAGCAACTGTGTAATTTGTAATACACCTCACAATAAATGCAGGAATTAACCTCTTACCAAGTCAGCAAGGTTTGGCTGGTTTCCACCCATGAACAGTCGATGTTTGCCAACAGCTGTTACCCACTCATTAACTGCTTCATACAAGTCTTCTCGGACATTATCTTGAAGGTGATGTCTGGATAAAGAGAAGTAGTTTGAAGACACGAGTTTGTTTCTTTCTCTAACCTTTTATCATCTCCAGTCTTGTGGGCTTGCCTTTGCCTGGGAATTAGGAAGGTATTTAAGAGTGAAGGGGGCAGCTAGTGATTGAATAGTAGATGAGTAGAGGTGCTTGGTACCTCCAGTTAAAGTACAGCTCTTACATTGGATTAAATAGTTTGGTTTAAAACACGGAAGTCCTGCCCTTTGACATCTGGTGTTCACAGCTAAGGAGGTTAAGGAGCTATTCCTCTTGTGTGCATGGTGGTACCAACCTTTTCTTTAGCCTCTTGCTAATGAAGAACATGGCAACAGCCCCCATGTACTTCGCAAAGAAACCTTCCACGGTGCCAAACTTCCCCTCACGGACAATGTAATCAAAAGATGCCAAGGCTTCCCTGGGGGTACGGTAAACATTGGGGGAGATGAGGTGAACAAGCCAATCGTCTGCCCATTTTCTCCACTTCATTTCTTCCCTGCAAGCATTCAAAAGAGACTTTTCAGCACACAAAGAGCAGATTTCAGGGCTACAGGGGGAAGGCAGAATCACAGGGGCATTAGCCAGAGGTTCTGCCAAGGACAAGTGTGTCAAAAACCCCTGCTCAGCCTTGTGCTCTGGTGACCCCTGTGAAATGCACTCAGAGTAAGACAGAGCACTCACTTCTCCTCCCAGTGTAACAACTACAGCAGAGAGGGAAACGCACTCCATAGCACTGCTCCGTGACATGAAGGAAAGGCCAAGAAAGGAACTGGAGGCAACCTAAGATTAGCATATCCATGACGGTGGTAACTAGGCTAACAGCATTGTTTCAACTTATGTAAGAAATACAGCAACACCACTCTAACTATTGAGGTTTTAAACAATAAGGAGGGTGTGACAGGATTTCTCAGCAGCAATGGGATTTTATATTTACACCATCCTTGAGTACATCTGGAGGAGGCTGTGACACTACCTGGAGAGCCCAGAAACTTGAGAGCACTTACACTCTCACTTCTTTGACAGGATAGACTCGCTTTGTCTCCTTCTCATCCAGCATGAGCCAGTATTTATTCCCATACTCAAATACCTCCTTGCCTTGCTCAGTCACAGTTTTCATAGGAGGATAAAAGGAGACGATCTCTTCTAAGCTATTTCTCCTGTGGACAGAAACACAGTTAGAACCTGACCTTGCTGCTACAAAAAATGAGCAAGAGTAAAGGACAGACTGAGAGATACACACTTCAAAATGTATTATTCTAAAGATAAGTGCACAAGGTTCCAAAGTCTATTTGAAATATATTTTGAAAAAAGAGACTGGAACAGCTACTTGCAAATAACTATTATTAGCATACATACCTTTGTCTCTGTCAGAACAGACATTTTTGCAGGCATAAAACTACCTACCATTCTCAAGTGCTTCATAGCACAGAGGCAGGCCACAGGCACAGCCATTTCACTTCATTTAGATGTTTAACTCACTAAATGTAAGCTTATTTCCAGGACTAACACTAGTTGATGTTTAAGTAGGTTTTGTGCAAAGAGAATCTCACAGGTGAAAAGAAGAGTAGTTCTGAAAGGTAAAAGCTTTGCTTTACTGCACATACATCATAACATATAAAGGCACCATCCACACCACCACAGCCAGGGCCAGGTCTGCTGGGCCAAAAACCCAGAGCTTCAGAGACCAAGGTCAGCAAGATACTTATGACCAGCTCTGAGACTCTTCTCAATCTCTAGTTCGCTAGGGCCATTCACATTCAACTCTTCTCCCATCATCCCGTTTTCTTACTTGGAAATGAGATACGTCTTTATTGCACTGATGATCACCGAAGAGTCATTCAATTGCTGAAAAACATAATTAAACCAAAATTTTACAAGAAGTTGGTGAAATGGGAAAGGAAATTCTTCAAAACCTGACCTTTTTCCTTGCACGCTGAGGCTTTAAATTAGTACTGCAGGCCCTTTTCCCCCCCGATGCACTTCAACAGGAGCCCCCACACATCTAAAGAGAGCCCTACATTCAGATCTGTTTGGTGATTTTTTCAGAGTATCACTTAAAATTTGTCTTTCACTCTGACAACAGAGGCCTCAAGGGTCAGGAACACAAGCAGTACTAGAGGGTTTTGGATTTAGACTCTTGGCATCAAAGGAGGAAAACAACATTAACACTAAAAAAAAAAAAAGCCAGGTTGAATCTTCAGTATTCTTGAGATCTCATTCTTTTCCCACGAGGAAGCAGATCTGCTTACCGCTGGTACAAATGATGTGTCCTGCATAAGGGCTGATAGAAGCTAGATAATCACTACACAAACAACACGCTTTATAAGAAAGACCAACAAAATAATAAGACTAAGGCATAGGAAACCATGAAGCAAGAAAAAAATCTTAGGCTCTCAAGAGAATAAAAGATGATCTAAAGATTACACTGCATGTGATAAACCACAGAGACATGCCAGAGACAAAGCCTCCAAACCACTGCTTGTGGGGAAATCAAGCTTTCAACACAGTGAGACTTACCAGAGGACTTCCAGCATTAGCTAGCAGGATAGGCACCTTTCTGTAAGAAGAGAATTTGATCTCTTTTCTCATTATCGGGTTCACTTCCACAATTTCATAGGGCAATCCATGATAATCAAGAAAAGCTCGGACTTTGCTGCAGAAAGGACACGTTTTATACTGGTAGAGTGTGAGCTGCAGGCTCCCTGCAGGCAGCTGGAGAAGGAAGAGACCAGAAGCTTCCATTTTCTACTGAAAATACAAATATTACCTTCCTTCTACCCTTACTTATGTCATAGTCATTGACATTCAGTTTCAACATACGATCACCAGAATATCTCGGCTAACAGATGCTTTCTTCAACTGGCATCACAAATATTCACCATCCATGGGGACAGAATACCTGTTTTTCTAAACATCTATTTAAACTGCTGGAAACTCCGACGCACAACCAGAAAAAAGTAAATTAAACCCAAACAGTTTATCCCTCTAAACACAAATCTGAAACTAAAAGACAAATAGAAAAGTATTTTAATAATTTTTAAATCAAAACCAAAATAGCCTTTTAATTCAAATTTTCACCCCCAATAACCTCTGTTGAGGCCACTGGGTGAGGAGAGCAGAAAGCAAGCTTGCTGTTGATTTTAGGCATGTGTCTGCCCCAGCTCAGATTC